AATACTCTTTTTAAATGTGACCAGTTGATCTTTGTAATGGTGAAGTGTAGTGTTTTCTTTGCGGTACGGACTGAATTCTTAAATGTTATTTAGACGAGCTTCGGCTACGAAGCATTAACACATACCTAACTTTTGGAGGGAAAATTTACCTCGTCTGTCACTGATCGCGTGTTATATAAATTTACGAAATTTCTTGCAACTTCAGTCAGCGAAGGCGTCGTATTTTAGAAAATGTGAGTTCCACCCTGTAACGCCTTTAAACGGCCGCTTGGCACAGCTTTTGTTAACAGCCGGTCTTTATTTGGGATGGTGATATTAGGTAAAGCTGGTAGTAGCCACCCACGTCTGCAAGAAGCAGCTTCGTAGTGGCTGTTTTGGAAGAACAAAGTTTCCCACTTTCAGACATCCGCCTGAACCCACAATTTTTTCACAACCAATGAGCTAATCTTATGCTACACCTCCCATACTAATTTTACGACCTCAGTGATTATTCCTGTCTTGCTTTATCAACTACAGACGTTTAATAATCATAATTATGAATGAACGACTGTGACACACGTGGACGAATATCAAATGAAGTCCCTGCGGACGTCAGTAAGTCGATGATGGTCTTTATCGATGTTCACTGGTCTCCACGCTTCATCAGTCCTGAAGATAGAGGCAGTATGTTCCTCCGAAACGTTGCTATCGACCAAGTTCACACAGCTGTGGGGTCAGTGGACCGATATAATCATTTTCTGCGGTAAAAATCACTAAACACATTTCTGTTTACGTTCTCGGATGCCACGAACAGAGGCGTACTCCATGGAGCTCGTTGTTACGATGGCCCCCCAAGATAGTGGGCAGACTGGTCACGCACTGTCGGAGCTAACACAAGAATTTTTTGTTTGTTTTCTCTTTCAACTTCTTCCAAGCACGATGACCTCCTAGCATATTTTCAAAATTAAACGCGTTTGTTAGTACGGCGACTACAGAGGAAAGAAGAATGAATTAACACGTGCCCTTGAGGGAGCCATCGACTGTTATCTGTGTCCGTATATTTGTATGTAGTGAGTTTTAAATTGAGCGCGCGCGCGCGCGCGCATTACATACGCGCAACGGCGATAATAGATGCTTGAACAACGCTTTCGATGACGCATACTTAACAGGCGCTGTTATATTATACTAACCAGTTATTTCCTCCAAAATAAATGAGTTTTGTTTAAATACTGTACAAGGCACAAGTATATATTTTACGAAAACCCCCACAAAAATTGTAGATGAACACTTTTACCAAAACACGACGAAATGTACAAGACTTTGGGACCTGTCGCTCAGTAGCAAAGAGAAAACTCATTGTCTTTATAGAACCCGAATGTTCATTACCGTGATCACAACAGCCCGTCACCAATCCCTATTACGCGCCAGATAAATGCAACCCACAGCATTTTTTCTCTAAAATTCCATTTATTTATTTTTTCAGTCCAATCTGCGTTTTCTGAAAGTCATCGATATCGAATTTCATCTAAATCTGTTCCGTCATTTGACCGATGTTAGTTCTGGACAGAAGAACGGTGTGACCAAAAACTAATAGACGATTTTCTAAATTGAGATTTGAGGTTCTGAAGGCGGTGAAGTCAAAATCGACAATTTTCGAATTTGTATTTCAAGACGCACGTAAACAATCACGAATTTTGAGTACGTAAAAAAAAGACTCGCTCGTATTTGAAAGTGGGCCAAGCAACTCGTCTTAAGTCAGCGA